AGGGGAGGCGTTGCACCTGCATTTCGCGCTGCCGCCCGTGAGCTTGAGCTCTCGAAAGAGGCAGGGAAGGCAGAAAATCTGGGCTCAGATCTGCTCGAAACAAAAGTGGCGAAGTCTTGCTGCGCGGGCCGGGCGCTGCCGTAAGCCGTGGAGCAGCGGGGGGCTCCTGTTCCGGCACGGGGTCGGTCCCTTGGCTTGCCAGGGCTCCAGCTTTCCCGCTGCCCGTTCCACGCCCCTTCCTGATCTCGGCCAGGCCGCGAAAGTACGGCACGGCAGGTCGTGTGTGGCGGGAGCCGTGCCCTCCTCGGCAGGGTGCCCGTCTGTCGAAAAGGGTACCGGACTTCTGGAGCCCCGTGTAAACTTGCGAGGAATGAGCTGCTTAGTCCAAACGCTGTGTGATTTGGTGCTGCTGTAGAGTCCTAGGAGCCTGCGGGGAAGACGCCGCCAGGTCACCTGTTCGGTTTGACGTTACACGCCTTTAGCAGCGGGCAAACAGTGTTAAGGTCTGTTATTCGTGTGTACCCTGGAACCCTCCCGGCGTGTGTCGCTTGGGCTGGAAGGCGGAGTCCCTGGCCTGCTGGGGAGCCATGTCCTGTGTCTCACCCCGTGCGGTGACACTCGGTCCCACTCAAGGCTCCGCATCTTTCTGAAAGACGTGAGGTTAGTTTAAGCCCAGCTTGTGCAGCGTCTTGTTTGCAGAATTGCAGTCGCAATGCTGGTTAATTAACGCTGTTTCTCCTGTAGTATGTGACTTTTCCCCACTTCGTAGATCAATATTTAGTGCTAGATGTAGGCTCTTGCTCTGGTTAGCTTCGTTGTACAAACTACCCTTGTAGTTAGATTCCTTTTAACACCTGGTTTTCTGATTAAAGCCAGATTCTGCTTTAAAACATTTCTCTTCTTGATCTATTCTAATGCCTGAGCCCCTAGGCTTCACATACGGGGTACAGCATCATCTGAGAGGGTAACCTCTCAGGGTAAGTGCCGAGTCTGTTTTCCTAGGAAGAATTGTGTGATGCTTTGGTTTTAAGCTTTCTTTTAATTTCTCTAAGGCTTGTATAACTCATCAATTCCTTCTCCCCCTTCATCTCTTTCATCCTGTGTATAACATCATTGACAGAGTAAGATATTTCAGTGTTTTCTTCTCAGGGTTTCTGGAAGACCAGAAGCAACTCAAGTCTGTGAACTGGTAATATATTTTTATTTCCTCCTTACTTTCATCTTTGTGTGGTTCAGTGAAACACTTAGCATTTCACGTTACCAAGTTATTCAGGCTGATTAAGTTGTTCCCTTTAGAATAGAAAACCTGCGTTTAGGAGGAAAAAAAATGAATGTGATTTTTGTGTGGCTCTGAATTGTTCTCTACAGTGTCTAACTCAAAACTGTAATACCATGAGAGGGCAGAAGCAGCAGGAAATAACATAGCTCTTCTTGGGTTTTTTGCATATTACTTAGTCACAGTGAAAAGTAAATCATGCTTTAAGTTGTTTTAATAGTATTAATAAACGTAGTGTTGCATGAGCTAGGAGATGTTTCGTTCTCTGTTGAATGAAGAAATAGTTAATGCTCATTCCTCTTCTTCAGATTGCTGGTGCTTTACTTCTCTTTCAGTCAGGATTTGATAACCTCCTTTATCATCACATCAATAAAAGACTTCAAAGTTTCAGTGTGGAAAAATTAATTATTTGGTTCATTTGTTTCCCTTAGCAATTTTGTGCATTAATATCCTATTTACTGATTTTTCCTCTTTGGGCTGAAAGGAGCTAAGAAGGAAGTAAATGGTGCTGTGCTTACAATCCTGGTTTTGCTATAATTTTGGCTGTAACCTGGCACGCTGCTGTTGGTTTGTGTGAGCCCGGGACAGAACTGGCTCCGAGTCTGGCTTGTTTGAAGCTTAGAGCTTGACAGCTGAGCCAAACCTGACCAACTCCCTAGCGGACTATTGTGAACTGATGGCTATTTCACTTACCTTCTTGAAAGCCAGAAGCGTTTTCAGTGAGCTCTGTCCCTTGTATGCATGCCCTTCTACAGTTTTTGCTGTGTGTGTGGTCTTCTTGGGAAAATCCAGTGCCAGTTCAGTAAGCGCCTTGTCTGTGGAGATCAAAGGTCCTCACTCAGATGAGACTGACAGAACCAAATTTTGCGATGCTCTCAGTCAAATCAGTGCAGAACGAGGCACTTTGGCCTAAGTCTACCAAGATGCTTTCATAATCTAAGGGGAGGTGTCCAGCATAACTATGTGCATAAAATGGTGATTTTTGAGAAATTCCATTGCATCTGCATAACGGTAGGATGGGAGAGGGAAATCGTAACATGGGAACTAGAGGTGAGGGTATTTGCCTGCTGCCTAATAGAGTGTTACTGTTGCTGGCGTTAAACTAGTGTTTTCCCTTCCAGTCCGAGACTTCCGATAAATCAAGTGCAGAAAGCGATTCGGAGGCTGAAGTGGAACAGGTCTCTGTGTATCGTAAGCTCCTGGCTACCCTGAAGACCTCTCCTGAGTCTGAGAGTGAGGAAGAGGAAGATGAAAGTGAATCGGAAGAAGCTGGGGAAAGTGAGACAGAAATGGACAGCGAAGGGTCCCAGGAGACCGGAGAAGCAGGTGGAGGTGAAGAAGATAAGAATGATGTACTAGACCAGGAAGAAGGTAGTTTGTCTTTTCCCATGCTTTGGTAAACATTGTTTCAATTAGAAAGTTTGAATAATGCATGTTTTTAGCCAGGATCCTGGTGTAGACTGGCTTGTTGGCTGGGTGCTCTTCTGGCATGGAGACTCTGTTACTCCGTTGCCTCTGTGTGGGTGGGAGCAGCAGCTGCTGAAGGATTTAGCAGGGGAGAGGGTAGCTGTGCTCATTTTCCGGCAGACAGCGCACTGCTGCTTCCTCAGATGTTGTTTGTGCGGCAGCACAGAGGAAATCCACATGGAGCAGCATACCAGGGGTTCTCACCCACTCATGGGAGACGCAAGCTGTTCTCTCACACAGCATCTGGTTTGGCTGCTGCCACCGAGAGGAGGGAAAGGTTTGCCTCATAGCAGAGGAAAGAATATGTTAATTGGAAGGAAACCTCCTCTCCCTTATGATGAGGCATCCTCATTCATGAAGTCTGCAAAGAAATTCTGGGAGAGGGGAGTCAACTTTTTATTATTTTCAGTTATTTGGCGTCTTTGGAAACTAAAACATATTCCCCAGATAGGTTATTTCTTTAATTTTCTCTGGGGAAACATACATCATATGTTATGTTACGTTTGGCATGCTAACCAAAAGTCTTCTTTCCTGTAGAATACAAAGCCTGCTTTTATCTTTTTGGATAGAATATTGAAAGAAAAAGAATTGGTAACTCAAAGGGATGGAATATCCCTTCGGCCAGTTTGGATCAGCTGTCCTGGCTGTGCCCCTTCCCAGCTCTTGTGCACCTCCTCGCTGGCAGAGTATGGGAAGCTGAAAAGTCCTTGACTTAGTATAAACACTGCTTAGCAACAACTAAAACATCAGTGTGTTACCATATTATTCTCATACTAAATCCAAAACACAGCGCTGTACCAGCTACTAGGACGAAAATTCACTCTATCCCAGCTGAAACTAGGGCATAGCTATAGACGGTAACTTTTCCAGGAGAATATAACCCATTTCTCTCTCTAACAAGTTACAGCTACAGACACAGCAGAGCAGACGCTTGCCCAGGAGCAGGCTGATGGTGGGGATACCTCTTGTGACCCAAGTCATGGAGTAATTGAGGAGTTTACTGATGTGAAACACGAATCTGAATTTAGCTTGGAAACCAATTTCATGGAAGAGGAGAGTGGAGACTGCAATGCAGATAAGAGAGAGAGCACTTCTTCACAAGCCTGTTCAGAAGGTAAAACACAGTATGTTTGTGTTTAGTGATCTGCCTCTAGAGGAGTATCCGTAAACCTGTGTAAATTATCAAATGCCCGAATGGCACGCTATATAGCTTCTGAGTTCTTCCGCTGCATTATTCATTGTATTGCCCACATGTGAGCTGGTTACATAAGGGGCGCTTAACGCTATTGCAGATGTGTAGCTGAACCATTTGTTTTCTGTAGCCCCTGTGGACTGGGATTTGTGCATAGCTTCTGTTATGACCAATAAAGCTTGAAATATCAGGAACTAGAAATGTGCGTGGAGGGGGTTATCTTGTTCTGTTGCTTAATAGTAGTTTAAAAAGCTAGTGTAATGCGAAGGGCCCTGCAAGCCTGCACTTGACTTGTGGAAGATATTCTTGGCACAGACAGCACGGGAGATAATCACAAAGCTGACCTGTGAGGGCATCCTTCACAACTCAGTGGAGTTAGAGGTGAGATTCTGGGAAGCTTGGGGCAGCCACAGTAATTTAGACAAATGCTCAGGGCTCTCTGAATTTTGAAGGTTATGCAGAGGAGTCTGACTGCACCAGGATCAGGAAGGCATGAGGCATCAGCGGAGCATCTGTGTGGTATCTTTTAGGGTGTAGCGCAGAATCTCAACGCCGCAGTGCGCTGATGGGTGCAATCTGAGCTTCAGTGTTGGAGTCGTCCCACCATGTGTAGTACAAATAACTGTGTGCACGGGTGTGTGATCGTTCAGTGATATGCCACACATTGGCACTTGCAGAGCTTCTATTCGTATTTCATGCTCTGTGGTTTTAATATCAGATGGCATAGTTTGAGAGGGAGAAATATGTTTGTAGCATCCCTAGTGATGCTGGCTTGTCATCTTGGAGCAGCAGCTGACATTAGATCTGGGAGGCAGCCTAGTTGATACATGAAATGTGTGGAAGCATCAAAGGGCCATGTGATAGAAAAAACAGCTCGTTCTTGTTACCATGAGAATATTACTTAGGCTGTTGGCATTGCATTTTAATGAGAACTGTAGCTCTCCAACTGCATGCTAAGTATCCTAACAGCTTTGTGCAACCTGTAAATGATGCACTACTTTTCAGTGGGTTCCTGTAGCTTGGAAGTGGCTTTGTAATCTATTACAGAAAATGAGTCACCTAAGATAGCAGAAAGGGGATGGATTCCTACTGTGGTCCCGGGGTCACTAGGATTCCTGAAAACGCTTCACATTATTCCCTCTTCTTTATCTGACAAATGCTGGAATCAGTAAAACTCAACTGAACAGAGAATCTGTGTTACAGTTATATGATATCCTGTTCACTTGCGTTGCTGGGAAGATATTCTCACAGTGTCATAATTAGCAAATGTCTTGACTTTTGCCTGGATAGCTTGTGTGTGGGCTAGATATCCTTTGGCAAGCACTAGTGTTCTCTAATTAGTTTTCTTTATGCAGTGAGTGCTGCTGTGCTTCAAGCAGTGTACAGAGCTTGGTTTTCAAAATAAGCTTTGCATGTGACTTGTGCATGCCAGTGTCTTTGAATATAATATGATTTTACAGTTCCTTGCCTCTCCTTTCCAAAAAGAAATGCTGATTAGATAAATCAGACTTTTGCTCACTTAAGGCAACTTTTGCCTCCCTTCCCCAAAACCCGCCTAATCTTTCTCTGCTTTATCACAAACTGTATTCATATCACTGGCTAAAGATGCAAAGCCCTGGGCAGAACTGTTTATAAATTAAGAAGGGCAGTAAGTTCACTTGGGTCTTTCCTACTGACAACCTATTTCACCTGCAAGGGATGGATGTGTCAGAGATGAAGGCAGAAAATTGCCACAATGTTTTCTACTACATACTGCTTTCCTATCCAACATTTGTTTTGTGATTGAAAGTTCTAGTACTTCCATAAGCGCTGCTTTTTCTTTTTTTAAAGCAATCTGTCAACTCTGTTCTCTCTGTTCTTGTAGAGAGAGTTTGACATCTTTTCTCTCATCTCCAAATGCTTTGAAATAACTAGTTTTAACGGTGGTGGTGGCCAGCATGGAAACTGTTGGTGTCATTTGCAAATCCATTTCGAAACTTGATTCTAGTATTAGCTACAATAGTTCTCAGGCTATTTTTTTGTTGTTGTTATAAATAGATCCATTTAAACAGCACATGGACAAAGAACTTGAAGAAAAAGAAGTAGAAAAAATGTCTACGCTTCCTAAAACTTCAAGTCAAAGCAAGGTAACAGTGTTCTGTAGCCATCCAGAGTTCCTAAAAATGCCTGGATTAAAATAACTCTTTCTTTATACAAGTGAAGTAGATTCATAGTTGTTGTTATTAGCTGTTGACACTGGAATTGTCAAGATTTTGTCACTGTGTTGTTGCTGAAGTGCTTTCTTCTTCACTTAGTGCTGAGCGAGAGTTGAAATCTGAAGTCTGCTGTTAAGTAGGCATGTGGCGACACATCTGAAAAACATAGCTTCAGAGTTTGATCTGTAGTCCCAAAACCACAGGTTTAGTACTCTTGACACCGGGCAGAAACAGGACTGGTTTCTGAGTGGTAACAGCGCAATGCCAGGGATGTGCTCTGCAACTGAACTTGTGAGGTGACCACGTACAGCCTTAAAAGCACTTGTGATGCACTCTCACGTTCTTGCTTCGAGATGGCTGTATCTCTGTACGCATTTGCAAGCCAGTAGAGGGGAATTTAACACTTACATTGTTAATACTGGAAATAATAGGTGAATTACAGTACCAGAAAACCGCCTCATTGCTTGAGAGAGAATATGGGTTTTGAAAATGTTCATTTTTAGACAAACCTTTGCTTCCTAACTTTTTCACATCTGATTTTGTTTTGGAGGGTTGCCTTGCATTCTGGTCAGCCATATGCTGGGTGACATTCATTGGAAGATATCCAATGGTTAGTCAGTCAGAGAGAAAGCTGTGATCTTAAAATTTTAGTTTATTTTTTTTCTTTTTTGGAATATGGTGGCCAAAAATACCAGTGCCACCTGAAGCTGTGCGTGATATATCTTTGCTTAACTTGGTGTAGCTACTTTACAGAGATAGATAGGGACAACTTGCGTAGCAGAAGGCTTAAAGTTTAGAGTTGTCCCCTACTACACTGATAGCTTTTGCCCTCGAAATCAGACAGACTTCCAACAAGATTGCATTTAGCAGCTGATTCACAACTTCTGGGTTTAGTCCCTAATGGGGTTTTGCTTTCATCTTTAGATAAAGTACATACCTCAGTGCAGCTGATCTATAACTGTAGTCAGACTCCAGGGTTCTCATCTTGTCCCTGGTTTGTGCCACTGATTGGCTGGATGGGTTAGGCAGAAATGACATCCTTCCTCTTCCTCAGTTTTCTCATCTGTACAATGAGGACAGTTACAGACACGTCACTGCAAAATACATTCGGATCTACTGAGCTCAAGTTTATTGTTATTTACCCTGGTAGACTCTAAGGAAGAGATTGCATTTTGGAAAAAAAGGTTTCAACTTCTATTATGAGAAGAGATTTCTCAAATTTCATGAACTTGATTGAACTGCCAGCTGTGGTGATGTGCTTTTAAGTGTACTAAGTTTGGTACCTATGACTCCTCTTTGTTTGTTTGTTTTCTTTTCAGTGGCCAAGGCTGGGCCAACTAACTTTTTCTTCCACTTTGGAGAAATGCAAAACTTTGAAAGCAGACAAAGAAGTCGATGTGAAACAGCTTTATCTTCACAAGCCTTTAGAATCCACTTGGCCAAAAGTGAATAAACAATTTCTCTCCTCGGCGAACAAACCAAGCGATCCCTCTTTTACCCCGTTACAAAGAGAGCTCTTCTGTATCATGAATACATACCGGGACTTGTTCTATCCAGAAAGAAATGCTTTAACAAATGGAGAAGAAATCCGGCATGCTTACTGCTTGCATGCCTTGAACCATGTTCTGAAGGCAAATGCCCAGGTGCTCAGCAACAACGCCAAACGAAGAGACCAAAAGCCAGGGACTGACAATGATGACTACAGGGATCAGGGGCTCACTAGACCTAAGGTAAGAGAGCTTCGTTAATGTGATTCCCCCATCCCCACCCTGGCTGTCCGGTCAGGCTGTATAAACATCCTGGTGGATTATCCGGAAGTATTTCTGTTGCTGCTCTCTCAGGTGACATGTTCCTGGGCCTGTGCCTTTCCACATCCCTTTCTCGTGCCTGGAAGTTGTCTGCCGTGGCCAGGGCAAATACCCCGTGAGAAGCAGTGAGCACAGGGTTGTCAGTCAGCCTGTTTCTGTGCTTGAGCCATGAGTTTGACTTCTCTTTTTCTTTGTCCCCCTATCACTACAGACTGACGTGTCACCTTTTCCTGCTTCCATTTCTAAATCTACCAGTACAGAAAGGTGCCTCCACATTGATCTTCAGTGTTAGTGCAGGTAGTGTAGGCTGTCGCCCAATGTGGGATGTCCCAGAAATTTTTTTTGTCCTTAGGCACTTGTGGGGACTTGCCTGCATGGAAGGATCTTTCTGTACCTGGGAGACCTCGAGGAATCCCAGTTCCATCGTCAAGGCCAACTGTCATAGTTGATGGAGCGGGCCTCAAACCAAGGCTCCCTGGATTCACAGCATCCTCTAGTTGATAACCAGGTGGATTCAACTAGGGCTAGCCTGTCACTGGTGGTGCCAACTACCTGTTGAACAGTTTCAAAGTTGGGTTTCAGTGTTTGCTGCACGTCTGGCAAATGCCTTTGGTTTCTGTGTTGACTCCCCAGTTAGATATTTATATTTCAGAGTGCTGTGCAGAGGCTATTGCCACCCATCCAGGAGCCAGCTGTTGACCCTGTCTGTGTATTGTGGGAGCTTTTGCTTGCTTGGGGGTGTAGGGAGAACAGGAGAATGTGCTTAGTTTTCACTTCCCCTGTAATGGTACCCTGGGTGTGAGGCGGGGAACCAAACTGAGCTGCTGGCCGGTACCTGTTCACGAGCACACTGTCCCAGCGCATCCTCCCTCCTCGCTGCATGTCGGAATTGTTTTATTTTGATTATTGGGATGCCCTGGGGGCAGATCTAAGTTAAAAAAAAAAAAAATATTTACTTAACATACAGTTAACTGTGAGTGGTCATATTCTATGGGTTATTCTGTTGTAACCGTTGATCTACGCAGGTACTGATGATAGTGCCCTTCAGGGAATGTGCTTTGCGAATTGTGCATATTTTCATCAGTCTTCTTGAAGTGAATGACAAGAGGAAAATAGATGTAAGTAATAAAAAGCGCTTCAAAGGGGAGTTTGGCTCTGACCCAGAAGAGAAGCCCCCCAACCTGAAAAGGCCTGAAGATTATGAAGCTGTCTTTGCTGGCAACATTGATGACCACTTCAGAATTGGTAATGACCTACTGAACAGATGATTTTTAGCTTGTAAAGAACTGAGATGTAACAAGTTCTTCTTAAATGTTTAGGAGCTATCAGGGCTGGAAGTTCTGGTGAGACTCTAGGCTCTGTGGTATTCATGCTGGTTTTGCACTGGCAACTTGGATTTTTATGAAAATCTTTCTTGCCTTGCCAGAGCTTAAAAAGGAAGAGAAAATACAAAAGTAATTAATTTCACATCAAGTTCAGAAGCACTTAAAATGCAATGATTGCTTTATTGTAGCAGGACTGCCCACACCTCATTTTAAAGAGGATAGCCTTGATTATGCAGCAGTCTCTTTCATGTTATTAAAAAAAAAAAATCTTTTGGGTTTAATCAGCCTATTCGCAGCGTCTCTTGTAGTCAGTACTGTTTGGAACAAAATTAAAGCTCAGTACTGAGCAAAGCAGTTTTCTACTGTGCTGCCCATGTTTTTCATGAAAGCAAAGGAGTAGCCAACAAGTAAGACTGTTGGACAAGCCGCAAGTTTGAGACTATTTCATAATATTGTAATCTCATACTGTTTTAGTAACTCAGTATGCACAGAATTAGCTAGTGGCTTGGTTCCTGGAGCTGCCATGATGAGTAGGCAGTTTTTCTAACTTAACTTGACAGATCAGAGGCTTTTGAAATTATTGCCCTTTGAAAGATAAATTGGCATCCCAAGAGATTTAATGGTACAGTGGAAGATGCGAGCAGGTCCCACTCAGTCTTTCTTCCTTCCCCAGTGAATACCTCTCTGGCTAAGAGCCTCTTACTTTCAGTAGCATAATAACTTTCCTTTCAGTTCTCTCCCATACCACAGTCTTCTTGATCCACTTAATAGGTGTGAAGAAATGCTTGGAGAAACTTTCAGTGCTGTTACTTGCAGAAGCAAATCATAGAAGCAGAATAATTATTCTTTCTTACTGTGCCTCACACCCTGTTACTTCTGCACAAAGATCTAATTTAAAGTACATTTGTTATGCCTTACTAAGACCACCCTTTCGCATTTTAAACAGAAAAAAGACCTGATGTTGTTAAACTGTGTGTATGCTGTGACAAGTGATATCTTCTTCCTGGAAATTCAACCAGTTGTGCCTTTCCTTTTTTTTTCCCCCCGTTTTTATCATTGGATTAAAATAGATAGCGGGAGGGGTCCCTGTTGCTGTCTGTGTGAAATTCTTGCAAGTGCCTTCAGCTGTGCCCACGATAGCTGGCTTCACACAGAGAGGGAGAGAAGTTGAAGAGACGCCTTTGTTGGGCAGACCGTAGCGGGTGGTTTCAATATGGTCTGGACTACCTGGATTTTTAGGATCAGAAAACTGGGGGTCCTAGCAATGTTGCCATGTTGTTATGACACAGGTAACAAAACAAACTCCTTTGATTCCTTCCTTTTCCTTTCTTTATCATGAGAGGTGACGCATAACCTAGTTCGGCATGTACACCACAACGTGCGGTGTGAGAAGCAGTGCCAGGAAAGGTGCAAGACTGGTGATGGTTTCAGTCATCGTAACATGAAGAACCTTTTCCTTTGCATTTTAGTAGCAACTCTTGTGGCCCTGTGAATAAAGGCAGTTTATAGTCAAGAGGTCCACACTGAATTTTTCATGACAGATTAAGGTAACAGTTATTATAGTACCGAATGGCAGAGACCAAAGTCTAGGATTTAGGGAGAAAGGAGTAGTTAATCATTTCTGCTTTTTATTTTTTTTTCTTAAGTTCTTCAGCCTCCTCATCCCCCTTTTTGGCTGAAAATGACAAAAGATGTCTTTCAGTTAAAAAATGCTGTCCAAGCTATGAAAAATCTGGAAAAAAGTACTACTGAAAGAGTTTGCCGAGCTTCATGAAAATCTGCCAAATGCTTGTCAAATGGGGGTGGGGTGGGTAAGCACTTTTCAGGGAAAAAAGAGTTTCAGACAGATTGGTTTTGTCCAGCTCTAATCATTAGTATGTGTTAAGGGAGAGGAAATGTAGGGAGGTACTGTTACAGAGCGTGCTGGAAGAAAATGGTTGATAATTGACCTTAACTAAGAAATTGCTGTTGGTTGTTGTCGGACAGGGGTTGCGATTCTTCAAAAGAGTATGAGACTATATGCACCATTTTACTCATCGGATATCATCATTGCCTCCCCCCTGGGTATGAGGACTATTATTGGCGCAGAGGGGGAGAAGAAGAGAGATTTTGATTTTCTATCATCAATAGAAATTCTCATAATTGATCAAGCAGATATTTACCTGATGCAGAATTGGGAACATGTTCTGGTGCGTTTTCCATATGTATTCATTTTTGTGTTGTACTGTGTCTCGTTAGTCTGATAGAACTTAGTTTTGGCAGTGAACGGTATTGCTATTTTTTTATTGACTTGATTCCAGATACGTATGCTTGTTCCTTTTTCTCCCTCCACCCTGATATTTTCCTTATACTAAGAATATTCTTTCTACAGATTTTGGTAGTATTCAGCACCTGTTCTCTATAAATCTTAGTATTTGGTACTTCAGTGGTATATTTCATCAGAGAATTTTTTGGACAGTTTTAATTATCTTGCAGGGTGAGATAATGATGATGCCTTTAATCACACCTGGAAAAAAATACGCTGTCTGTCTTACTGCCCAGTGTCGCAGTCAGACTGCAGCCGCATGAGGAATCCGTACAACCTAATTCAGGTTCCTCCAGAAAGCGATAGGAGCTGGTGCTAGTCTCCACTGACTGTAGAGATACTAAGCATTAATCATGTCCAAAGTTAAGCAGTATGAAGATTTTCCCGTGTAATGAAAATACTGCTCTGGGATTGTAGCTAGTATGCAGTAGTACCCATGCTTTTTGGCTTTTGGTTAGTAAAAGTTTTCAGGGTTGAAAGGTTGGGGGTTTTTCCACATAGAAACACCTTTGAGGTACCTGAGCCGTGCATTTCGACAGCATGATGTTACTTTGAATGAGCCCAGAACGTGTCTTGTTTCCTGGGGAGTCCCAGCAAAGGCACGTCAGCCTACGTGATATCCAAGGAACGAGTCCTGGAGCCTGTTTCCTGTTTTTTCCTTTGGGTGCAACTGCCTGCCATGCGGTGGCAGCGGCGCCAGTCCTAGGCGTCATTTAGTGAGGCCAAAATGAAGTGAATTTCTTCCCTTGCACCCACACTCTCCCTGAATGCAATGGGAAACTGCACTTGGGCTTCTTTTAGCTCAGAAACCTTGGGCCCACTGACTTTAAAACAAACAAACAAATCCATTATACTTGCCCCATGGGAGAAGATTGGAAGCAAAGGTTACTGTTACTGATGGCTAAAGAGGTGGTAGCTTTCAGTTCTGTGGTGGGAAATCAAGTAAATTACTCTTGTTGCGGTCAATAACTTCCAGACAGTCATGTCTTGGAAGATCATTACTGTTTTATATTCTGTGCTGTCTTGCTCATCCCTGCCTGCTTTCTCGCTGCAGTTGAGGCTCTTGCAGTCTGGGTGCAGGGATGTCAGTCAGTAGCGATGTGTTTCCATCTCTCTGTGTAGCACCTGATGAAGCACATTAACCTGCTGCCTCGGGATTCCCACGGGGTAGACTTTTCCCGAGTGCGAATGCTGAATCTCAATAACTGGTCCAAGTACCACCGCCAGACGCTGCTGTTCAGCGCTCTTCAGGATCCCCAGATTAACTCTGTCTTCAACAAACACTGCTTCAATTACGTGGGGCAGGTGAGTTCACAGATGAGCTGAAATCCTTCTTTTAAATGCTGGCGTAAGGGAGGCGGAGAGGAACAGAAAACGCAACGCGTGGAAAAATTCAGTTGTGGAAAGACTGCCTGCGTGCCAGTCATTTCCATTACCCAAGTATTTCAGTCTGAATCTCCATGACGCTGCACGACGATTTCCAATGCTGTGCCAAAGGCATGAAGAACTACTCTTCTTGCAGCGATACTTATTTGGTCCTGTTCTTTCATGGGTAGCTGTTTCATGTCAGAAATCAGATTCTGGTTTTTCTTAATTTGACACACACAAGTTACCTTGTTTTATTTATTTTGTTGTTAAATGGAGGGTTTGCCTGCTTCCCTTCACCCCCCCCCCCCGCTATTACTTTGAAAGAAAAGGGAAAAGTAAAAACCTTAGTTGTCTATCTCAAATTTATGGAAGTCGGAGCATAGGCAGCGGTCGTGTATATTTAACAGATCTGGTGTGTGTATACGTGAATGTAGTTTTCTATTGGAGCTTTCTTAAAAACAGCCTGTGCGCTGCTTGCAGATGTGAGGTACGAGCAGAAGCCGGCTGGAGTGTGGCTGCCTTTGAAATGCCGCTTCCCTGAACGTCCTACTTTCTTCTCGCAGGTGGCCGTCCGCAACGTACCGCTCAGTGGCTCCATTAGCCACGTTGTGGTCCAGCTTCCTCATGTTTTTCGGAGGCTAGAAGCTGAAAATGTAACTTCTGTAATAGATACAAGGTACTCTGTGTTCCAGACTATTTTGCTATGCGCCAATGACTGCAGTTTCAGGTTTAGTTGAGCATACTGTTTCCTGCAGAGCACAATGTGATTTCCCCACAGAAGTATGCCTCCATTAGCCTTCAGATGCAAGCTAGGCTCTGCGCAGGTGGAGGGGAGTACTGAACTTCTTGCCAAAGGCACTGGAGAATAAAGTCTGGGAAAAGAATACCGGTCTCTGCCATAACTGTGTAGTGCTGATAAAGCCTTTGCCTTTTATCTTCTACACGTGTAGCAACCCTATGAAGTTAAAGAAGGAAAAATGTAGTCGGAATCTTCTGTAGTCTCTTGTGTCTGATGATATTCCTGTTTGAGGTCATACCAGTACTGGAAAGCGCAATGTTACCTCTGGTTAAAACACATTTGTTTTCTTAACTCAGGTTTCAGTTTTTCATCGACAAAGTTTTGCCTGAGTACCGCGATGCCATCATGTCACACACGCTCATTTATGTTCCATCATATTTTGACTACGTGCGTCTTCGAAATTACTTCAAGAAAGAGGAGCTGAATTTTACTCACATTTGTGAATACACTAAAAAGGCTGGCGTCTGCAGAGCAAGACGGTTCTTTCTCAAGGGAGAGAAGCAGTTTTTATTGTTCACTGAGCGCTTCCACTTTTACAAAAGGTGAATTGTGGACCGAGTTTTCCTTTGGGTTGCATGTGTGCTGTTTTGGAAGTAGAGTCTGACCTTAATCATAGATGGGCTATCTTGCTTTTTGAATCTGTTGGATCTCTCTGAGGACTTGTTTGACTGAAGTAAGAGCTTTTCAGTTTCCTTTAAAATTTTTGCATGTTGTCAGCAGTCCCTTGCAGAGACTCTAATACTTTGGTATGTGCAGGGCTTTATTCAGGAAGGTAAGTGCTGCCAAATTCCACTGATCTCAGGACAGGATGATATAGCCTGCAAAATGGGATTCGCTGTGCCTTTTACTTGTGTTCATCTGTGCCACAATAATTACATAAAATTCTGGAAAGGTGTATGTAATTGGTTCAATAACACAATACAGCAAGCTGAGGCCACCTGGAAAACTTGCAATGTCCTGAGTGGAGCTGTTTAGAAGCTCCTAATGGAACAGTTTTTTCTGTTAGCAGAAGATGTTTTGGCAAATATGAAAAGTTTCGTGAGGCTCAGTCTGATCAAGCTTCACTGTCTTAAAATCCAAGCCAAAGAGGCTGAATACTGCAGAATTTGGTGGCGGTCTGTACTTCAGAGAAAATCGCAGTGCCTAGCAGCGTTAGACCCGCCTTCCCCCCTGCCCTGCATTCCACATCTGTGTTAAGTTCAGTCTTCATGACACAGGGTTTGTAGAGCTGAGCTACAACTGATGTGGAAATTGGAAGAACTGAGATAGAATTGGTGTTTTAACGTTCACACTTTGTAAAAATTGCCAGCAAAGTTACTTGTTTGTTTTTTTTTCCTACTACAGGTATACGATAAAAGGCATTAGGAACCTCATTTTCTATGAGTTACCAACCTACTCCCACTTCTACAGTGAGATTTGTAATATGATGAAGGCCACAGACAATGGAGTGGATGCTACTTGGACCTGTACTGTGCTCTACTCCAAGTATGATGCTCAGAAATTGGCTGCAGTGGTTGGCATAGATCGCACAGCTCAAATGCTACAGTCCAAGAAAAACGTGCACCTCTTTGTTACAGGAGAAAATGAATAAGTGATACTGCAGACTAGATGTCTAGAGGGACCTGGATTTTACTCCTAATGCACTTTTTGATGTTGCTTTTTTAAAAAGTATTAAACTTTTTACTCCCTTTTACTAAGTATTCTGTTGAAATTGTTCATCTAGTATTAGATTTTGTATTTCAGTACTCTGTCCAACAAGAAACGAAGGATGTCATTCAAGAAGGCAGGGCTTGGGGGTTTCTTCTGTATAGAAACAAAATCAATCCAGAACTATTCTTCTTGTATGTTGAAAAACTCACTGGTCAGTAAGGATTGATGCTGTGATAAATAACTTTTGATTGGATTGCTTCACTTCTTTTTCAGGTGTAGCAAACTCACCTTCTTTTGTCAAAGGCAACTATTCCCTTTAATCGAGGGGAAGAAATGTGCCCGAGTATTTAATGCAGTTGCTATTCTGTAAGCCTGTGTAAGGGAGGTGCAGGCGAAGCCTCTTCAACACAAGCGCGTTGTTGAATGGGAGTTGAACTTGCTTAAACTTGACAGTTATGAGAATCCGTGAATGTGCTGGGGTGGAAGCTATGGTTTCGCATTTTTGTCCTGAGTGACCTAAAGATTTCTGCCTCCTACTTACAACAGCCCCTCTGGCCGGTCAGTTTTACCAGGGATAAGCTTTTCCAAAGAAAACGGCTGGAGTTGAATTTGTTTCAACTTGACAGTTGTGAGAATCCGTGAATGTGCTGGGGTAGAAGCTATGGTTTTGCATTTTTTTTCCTGAGTGATCTGAAGATTTCTGCCTCCTATTTACAACAGCCCCTCTGGCCGGTCAGTTTTACCAGGGATAAGCTTTTCCAAAGGAAAACGGCTTTGAACTTGGCAGGCAGACGAGCCTAAGGCCTGCCTAGCCCCATGATCGCCAAAGCAACGCTGTGGAGCACAAAACCAGGTGGTGCAGTTGTAAATACCTGCGGTCTGGTATCTCACACCATGGGTGGGGTTTTGTTGGTTTGTTTTTTCTCTCCTCTTAAGGGTGGCTCATGGACAGCATGGAAGCATCACGGTGCTGCCTCTTCTTTCTTTTCTTCTTCCAGGAAGCTAAGCCTAATTTAAAAGGAGCTAAAAGTAGAGAGATCAGGTTTTGTAAGCATGTGCTAGGACTGTGGGGAGACTGTTTTGTGGAGGGGCAGGTGAGCCCAAGTGCCAGAAGGAAACCTCCATCCTGTGATAAGCTTTGAGGGAATTCTTGTCTGGGAGGCTTAAGTAAATATACCAAAGTGAAATAAACTCCTTGAGTAAATGCATAGGCACGTAACTTTAGCCAGTTTTTTATCATATTCTTCATTCCTGTATTTCTCAGAGGCTGTGACCTCAAGTAGTAATTGAAGTCCCGAAATCATTTAGTAGACATGCAAATCCATGCAGTTTCTTGCTTTGCATTTTAAGTAATGATTTCTGTTAATTTTATGTACCTCTGCCGTAGCACACAAGAATTAAGAGCCAGCCACAGCAAAGTTCTCCCTGTGAACATCTGTCTGCTGTACAGCAGAGGCAGCAGTAGAGGCAAACAAGGATTTTTCTTGTATGGCCTAAGCTCGATGTGGGGAATGGTGGCTGCGCATATGAAAACAAGCATACAAAATAGGATTAAGGAATTTTCTTGCTTCACCAGATGTACTTAGCAGAGATGAATAGCTGACCTCTGAGGAAGCTAAAGTGGGATAGCTACTTAGGGAGATAACGTGATGCAGTGCAGCTACTGTTTAAAGAAGCAGCAAGACTTTTGTGCCAGAGCCTTAACTACGCAAGGATTTTTCTGCCCCTGCTGAAGTTAATAGCAAAGTGCCTCGATGGGAGCAGGGCCAAACTGTAGTAAGACAAGCATACTTTGACATATGAAATGTATATACCAGTGTTATGTTTTTAATGTTGATTACTAATTAGAACTCTCTGACTTCCAAAGTAGTGTGTAAATGCCTCTTCACTGCCTTCCGTTAGTGCTCCGAGATGCAGGCACAAAGTTGATGTGTGACTGCCCTTAGAGAGCTCATGCATGAGGTTTTTCTGCCCTGGCAAAATCTTACTTGCTTTAGTAGGGAGCCTCATAAGCCAACGCTAGAAATCCTACCTAGGAGGTCGCGCTAGCGGATCGGACAGGTTTGGTGATACAGGGAGCCTGTCTCTGTACTGGTGTGAAGGAGTTTCTGTTCCCAGGTGCTTCCTCTTACCCCTGTGCTGCGATGCTCCCACACCTGGGGTGTTGGCCCACTTGGTAGCGGAATGGCGGTGAGCCGGGGAGAGGGTTTGCTCTTGTTTAAAACTTCTCCTTTGCCCCCTTTTTATCTTATTTTAAACAATTCCCTGGTGCAGTTCACAGCAGGGCTCTGCAAAATGGTTTCTCCAAGAGTGGCTCCAAAGACGGTGAGTTACTGGAAGATGGCGAGCGCTGAGGTCAGAGTTTGGCCCATCCTGGATGCGTGTTCACGGAGACCAATGCTTCGCTTGCTGGGGCAACTGCTGGCTCCAAATGGGTTAGTTAAGAGCCTGTCTTATAATGCATTTTCTTGACGACAATGTGGCTTTCGGAGAGGTGGCTGAACTTGATGCATTCTTGTGGACACTTAGTCAATTTTAGAAATGGAATATGTACATCTGGGCGTTGTCTCTTTTTTTTAATTGTTCAACATTTTTTTAAAAAAGTTGAAATCCTGACACAAATGGAATAAGAAAAGACACTAGCAAATACAGTATTTTACCTTTTTTTACTTGACAGCATGCCATCTTGGCATGGCAAGCTTTTTGCAACTTTTTCACAAGAATGCACCCATGATGAGTAACTGCTCATCTCGAGGAAACTGAATCCTGTTCATTTTGGCATCAGTACCATACCTTTAAGGGGGGGGCTGATGTTTCTTAAGAATCTTTTTTTGTCGACGTTTCAAGAGAGTCTGAGTACTGAAAATGAATCCTGTATTCTTTTTATTTGTGAAAGGCATTGCAATGCAGTGTGAGAGTTGACTGCCTGGCATCAGGCAGGCGCCTTTCCAGACACGGGCTGCTAACGTGCAGTAGTGCTGAAGCATTAGCAGCTAGCTTTTGGGAATTCAAACCCAAGGGTAAAAGTAAACTGGGATTAAGATGTTAAACAATAATTCCTTTTGAGCATCTCCCATCTCTCAGGAAATTGATGATAGTAATTGATGACCGAGAGAAAGACATACCTGTTTCGATAGGAAGATTGTTCCAGCTAACAAGCTGATGTTGTAGTGGCTCCTTTCTTCACTAATAAAACCTAATCAGGATAATAGGTTGGTTATGTTTTATTGCTCCTTTCAAAGATGACAGGCAATGTTTTTTTGGTTTTGGTTTTTGTTTTTTTTTCCTGAAAACGTGTTTGTAGGATAGGAGCCAGCCTTCTGCTGGTGACTGTATTAATGTGGAGGAGGGAGGGAAAGGTGACTTAGGGACAGTCTGTCTCCAGCGCTGGAGAGCTGCCTCCCATAAGGAGGCAGGTTGTTAGTTTTGCAGCAGTCCTCGGGAGACACGGGACGAATCATGTGAGAGAAACTGGAGCATTCTTGTTCACAACAGCAGAATTAACGATTACTTTACAGTTGTGCTGTCACAGGCTGCCCGGATTTCTCAGCTCCGTGTTAGTCATGCTCCTGTGGTCGCAGCCCCAGGAGTTCCTCTCCAGGGTTTGGGATTGTTTTGGACTTGGTAGCCAAGCGTGTCTGATGAAACAGTTTGCTTTGCACAGGGGGAGTTTCAGAAAGCCCATCCACAAAAGCATATGTGGACGTACGAGGGGGCTGTGCAAAGAGGGAGAGGGGCGAGAGCAAGTGGGGGACAGCAGTCCCTCCCATCACAGAGCCTGCCGGGCTGCCCCGCCGCTGTCCTGCCCGGGGACCGACCTGCACGGCGGAGGGCTCCTTTCCTCACCGTATCGGTCTGTTCAGAGACCTCCTGCAGGTCCTGCACCGGGAAGGAAGCAGGTGCCCCAGGGAAGGTCACTGGGATGAGTCTTCATCTTTTCGCCTCCCCAGCGATGCCAGGTGACCCTTAATGCCATAGAGAAGGTGACGGTGCTGCTGGCACGCAGGCAGGCACCAACACTGGCTGAGTTGTGCCACGCAACAGCCCAGGACTAGGAGCCCAACTGCAAGACGTGCTATATACTGTGCCTCAAAGGCACTGCACGGAGTTTCTGATGTATGTGTATTACTGTAGCCAGCGCGGTCAACAGGATGCTTTTTGCCCTCACTAGATCCAAGACAGTTCAGTCCCTGTGGCTTTAAATCTCATCCTCTGTGCTAAGCTTGACAATAAAGGATAATTAATTAGCACAGGGCTGGTTACCTTTTAATCAACCATTAGCTTCAGCGGTGCTTGGGGGTTGCTTGTTTTACCAGGTGGACTGTGGGTTGGGCTGAGTTGGGTGGATAAACAGCTAACAGGTACGAGCTGGTACTGTGAATGAGTTATCTGAAATGGAGATGTTGAAATGGTCATAACACTGAGTGGTACTTGAGAAATAAATATTTGATTATGTAAGAGAGATGCAGGAATCTTCAGTAAAGGACATGAGAGAGATCAAGGTAAGGTATAGAGAAACAAGAAGACAGAGGACAAAAATAGGATGGTAACCTTGGAGCAGTTGACAACATAATTATGTCACTGCAACTGAAAGCAGAAATTTGGCCTCAGTCTTTCAGACAGAACAGCAAAACCACACTAAAGTCTTATGTGCTGCACGTGATGTTACATTTCCTCAGTAAGACTCTTACCACTGATACTGGCATAAATGTAAAGAGATGCTGCCAGAATTGCTAAAACAGAGGTTTATCAGGATGCTGTAAGGTCTCTAATTAGCCCCTCCTTTGGGAATTTGGTAGCAGGCGCCGTAACTGAAAAAACGTTGCCAGTACCTTGCTATTACTGGCTAAGAAGCAGCAAGCTCCATGTTATTTACTTGTTCTAGGTGTCTGGTTTCAAAAGCCCTCATTGCCATTGAATTAATAGGTTAACAGAGAATGAATATTTAGCTTTAATAATGCATATTTTTTTTTATCGAAGCAGGAAAAGCTAAATCAGTTTTGTACTGAGTCATGAGCGTAGATGTAAAATGGATAAATGGGAACCAGATAATACAATTTATTTGGACTTTTACAAGGTCTTTGAGAAGTTCCTTTATCGGGGGCTCTTAAAGAAAGTAAGGGTTTGGCGAGGCTGGAAGGATCATAGCAGCTCATCACAGCAAAAGGCTCTAAGTTACTTCAGTGCAATCTCCTCTACTGGCCATCTCTATAGCATGAACTATTAAA